CCAGGGCGTGCACACGCCCTGGGATCTCTGGGACCTGGGCCCGTCGCGCGAGCTGTGCTGCCCGGGGCTCGGGCCCGGGGGCCGCTCTGGCCCAGACCGTCCCCCGAGGGGTCGCTCGGGCCCCGACGTCCCCCCGAGGCTCTCGGCGGGCGGGGCTCGGCCCCGCCCCGAGCGCCGGGCGGGCGGTAATGGGGCGTGGCCCAGCTGGGGGGTGAACAACCTCCTCCTCCTCCTCCTCCTCCTCCTCCTCCTCCCCCTCCTCCTTCTCGTTTTCCTCTCCTCTCTCCTCCCCTTCTCCGCCTCCTCCTTCTCCTCCTCCTCCTCCTCCGCCTCCTCTCTCCTCCTCCTCCTCCTCCTCCTCCTCCTCCTCCTCCTCCTCCTCCCCTCCTCCTCTCATCTGGCTCACACCCCATTGCCACTCGCCCGGGAGCGGGGGGGGCTGCTCTCCGACATCCAGCCTGGGGTTGTGGCCTCGAGACTGTGCCGTTTTGCTGGGGACGCTCCAGGGCGGGGCCAGCACAGAAGAGAGCAGGCTCGGATCGCGCGGTCAGAGCGCAACATGTAGAGTGCACGGCGCCCCTCCAGGGACAGAAAACCACCCACCGTCCGTGCAATCTGTACGCGTCCCTCCTTCCCGACCCCATGTTGTATAACGAGAAACGGACGTGCACGCTATGCGTTTCCATGTTGAACGCGGACGTGCAGGCTCAACATTTTTACGTAGACTTGGGCCCCATAAAGTTGTAAGACAGTCTGGGATGGCTCCAGGAGCAGGCTAGAACGGCCCACGAGGGCTCCGAGCACCACAAAGAAGGCCCAACAGAGCTTCCGGAGATGCCCAGAACGGCCCAAGGGAGCCCCAGGAAGGACCAACAGGCCGCCCAGACAGGCCAGCATGGCCCCAACTGCTGCCCAAAATGGGCCCAAGCGATGCCCGAGTATTTTGGCATTCTGCAGTGCGCTGCTGCTCTGCGGCAGAAAGCCCAGCGGCGTCGGCGCCCGCGGACAGCGCCTGCCCTGCTCGCCGCCGCAGGTCTGGTGCATGGGCGCTTGGTGGCGGCGCGTCCCTCGAGCATTTCCTGGGCACCTCTGGGCACCTCTGCCGCAAAGGGCCGCCTGCGACGCGGCGCCCGCGGGCGAGGCGGGCGCCGGGAGGAGCCCAGCGGACGCGCGAACGCCAACTCCTGGACCGTGGAGAGCTGCTGGAGCAAGCTCTCATTGGTGCCCTAAAGATCCTCTTCCAGCCGCGTTTTCCCCAGTTGAAATCAGACCCGTAATCTTCAAGAGACGCTCCTGCACAATAGGATGCAGAACTTTCGGCAGACTCAGAACCGCCGTCTCCGTGATGCTCGCGACGCGGACGACTTCCGTGAACCAGTGACTGCCTGCCTGACAGTGGATAGCACCGCCCCGCCATTTCTCATGACTCACGCGCCGCGGGGCGCGCCCCTCCAGATGCGAGCAGTTGCGCGCGAGCACCTCCGCGTCATCACCTGCAGCACGCGATCGGCGGACGGCCGGCAGAGAGCCGCCTGTCCGCGATGCACGCAGGCCACTTCGCTGCAGTCTGGAAGCTGGGATTCTATCCAGCCGTCCGGCTCAGAAAGCGCGGCGCCTCACAGCCTTGCCACTGCGTCAGCTGCGGTGTAGCCGCAGTGCGTCCACGTGCGGGTCGCGCGCGGGGTCTGCGCGCGTCCGCCATCCCGCTGTCCTGCACAGCGCTGCAGTCCGATTACGCACGGACATGGGCCAGCCACTTTTGTGGTACACGATTCTCGCGAGAATCAAAACTGCAGTAGCGCGACGATCGCTGGCCGCAGCTGCGTCGCAGTGCTCTGCAGCAGCGACGCTCGTGCTCGCGGCCGCAAGCTCGGACATCCTGGCTAGCATGGCTTCCTCCACGACCGCGCGGTCGCGGAAGGGCTCGCGCGCGCAAACAGGCGACGCGCCGAACGGCGCGTCGAATGGCGCATGGCGGCTCGAGCCAAACGGCCAGAACTAGCCACGGGATTTCCGTATCAATGTGAGACATCTGGGTCACGAACTGTTTTTTGGCGACTCTGATGCCGGGGACACAACACACCACGTAGCTTACACCACATAGCCCGTACATCCTTGATTGCTCCACATGGCGTCCGACGCGTAGCACACCGATCACGGCTCAGTCCACACGCAAGTACTGCATCACATACCCGACACAATATGGCTCAACAACACGTGGGTTGCACAACTCAGAAGGATCTACACTGCCCACACAACATAGATGGCGCCCCGTGCATTGAACCACACAAGTTGCCCTGCGTAGCTCGCGCACCACAGGTCGCACCACGTGGCATTCCCCGCGCGGTCGCTCGTCCGCAGGCGACAGGGCGTCCTGGCGACGCTGCCACCCAAGCGGCAATGGGCAGCAACGGGCCAGAGCTCGGGGGGCGCGCAGACATGGGTCAGCGATCAATGGATTTGGCGCGCGGTCGCCAAATCCATGACTCGGGGGAGGTGCCCCCCCCCAAAAATGTGGCCTGCGCCGCCTCGTTCGGCGCATGGCATCCGCGATTTCCCATGGAAACGGGACCCGTCGCTAATACTTTTTTGGTTGGACGGCTCGAAGGACAGATCCAGTGAGCGGGATGAACGTCTGGGCCACAGAGCGAGATAATTGGCTGCAGAGGCACGTAGGCAAAGTCGCTAATACGCGCCCCCCCCGTGAGCCATGGTTGCGGTCGCCTGGAAAACGTGGCGAATCCTCGACACTGCCACCCGTGCGGGAACGGGGGGCACGAAGCGGCAATGGGCGGCCACGGGCCAGAACGGTGGCGCAGACTCGGCGCATCTACACACAAGCGGCAACGGGCAACAAACGGGCGGCAACGAGCGGCGACGGGCGGCAACGGGCAACGGGCGGGAACGCGGCGAATCCTCGACGCACCCACACAAGCGGCAACGGACGGCGACGGGCGGCAACGCAAGAGAACGTGGCGAAGCCTCAACGCACCCACCCAATCGGCAACGGGCGGCAACGGGCTGGAACGTGCAGCATCCTCGACGCAGCCACACTAGCGGCAACGGGCGGCAACGCACGGCAACGGGCGGGAACGTGGCGAATCCTGGACGCACCAACTCAAACGGCAACGGGCGGCGACTGGCGGCAATTGGCCAGAACGTGGCGAATCCTCGACGCGCCAACCCAAATTCTTTGACAGGCATGCAGGACACAGTATGCGCAAATGCTGTTTTGGGGAAATCGAAAGAGATCCCCCTGGCGAGGCCCTTTTCATATCTACTCTTCACGGCCGTCAAATAGCATGCAAGTCAAGTCGGTATCGACTCCACCCCCGCCATCTCCTGCAAACAATACGATGCGGTGCACATGCGTTGACCTTACCACGCGCACGCGCGGCCGCGCGCACGTCAAAGTTGTCACCAAAACATGTGCCCATCCCAAGATCAAGACACGTCTAATCAAACGCTCGTAACAGCCATTGTTTCTTGAACAGAGCACTTGCCAGACTTCTGCGCGCGCTCTCATACACCTGACGATGCCGATAGGTGTTTAGCCATTCTTCCAAATCAGACCATACAGACCGCTTACGCGATGATGTCGCAAATCTTCCACCACCATCACGCTCCCACCGACTCTGTCAAATAATACCATTCGGACCCCACGCGCGCGTCTCTGTGCGCGCAGGTCGAAATCCGTCCAAAACCACAGGTGCTCATACTACTTCCATGCAAAGGTAATCAAACACATACGAACACCCAATGGTTTTCAACACAATCAGGTCATGGTGTCTGGATGTCTGCGGGCGAGCGCTTTCTCATCCTCCTCATCAGCACAATCCATATCATCGTCAGCGTCATCATTTCCATCGCCAGCCACATCATCACCATCGTCTGGTTCATCGTAATCGCTGTCATCGTTTCAGTGGCCGCCCTCGTCAGATATCTTCGCGCGGGCACTTCCTCCTACTCGCCATCAGCAACACCATAATCGTCAACATCGCTAGCGTCATGATGGCTACAGCCATTCTTATCACCATCATCTTTACCACCATCAACAACGTCATCGTCGGCATCGTATCGCCCCCATCTCCACTGTCATCGCCATCGGCATCAACGACATCACCACTGTCATCGCCTTCAGCGTTGGCGTCGCGCTCGTCAACATCGCCACCGCCGTTCCGTGGCCTGGAGGACGGACTCGTGTGCGCGGTTGGGATCCGCGCGCCCGTGCGCTCACTGAGAACATGACCGAATGAGGTTTACCAACATCTTGCGGGTAGGTGGGATGTTCGCACGAGCATGGGAGATGCTCGCGCGCGGACGTCGTGCGGCGCGTGACTTGCATCACACAACTTGCACCTGTTAGATCACAACACACCGCTTGCACCGTACACGGATGTCACGAGAGCGCCAGAACCCACTGTTTAGGGTCCACGCTGGCCAAACATCCCCCTCCGCCGGAAGTCTGGGATCCAGCCCCAAGTCCATACTTTTTGTTGCAAAAGCGCACGGGGGGTACCGCTGCCTGTACCCTTTGCCAACGCCGCTCCAGAAGCACTGCCCGGAAGCACGGAGTGCTGGGGTCGATGCTGTGAGGGTGGAGAGTGGGGGAGAAGTGAGTGTGCCTTGGAGAGAAGATAGAACACCCTGCCTCGGACAACGGAGGAAAAACAGGAGGAAGAGCTAAGAAGAGATAGCGAAATCACCGGGCTCATAAAACATACGATTGCAAGCATATCAGACAACTCCTCGAAACGCTCCGTGTGGGATGTGGCTGAGGCCGTCGAACATAACAGAGCCATGACAGGCCTAGGCGCAAAGACAAGTCTAACTAGAGCAAGCTCACCGAGCGTGCCGGTGACACCTTTGCAGGTATTCCAAACCAACATGTAACGAACATAGTCTTTGACGGTCAAGTATTCACCATTCTGCTCCCTCGGCTTGCCTAGTTGTAACCTTTGGTCAAACTTGTGCAACAGCGCGCTCGAATCGATGCCTGGTCAGACTTCAAAAGTGCCCAGAAGAACCACTTTGGCCAACGCCGCCGCCGATAGAAGATGCCACAGGCCATGTGCAACCGCGTAGGCAACAGCCTGCCCCTGACGCCGTAGAAAGGCACCGCCGAACAGAAACAACAGCGGCGGCAGGAGCCACTTCACGGATGCGGCGTCCCACGCCAGCAGGCATGCCCCGTAGCCGGCGGCGCAGCTGACGTCCGCCACGATCAGGCGCGTGAGGCAAGCGGGGGTGCCCAGGTGCTTGAGGCACGCCGTGGGGCAGCACCTCCCACAGAGCGGACCTCCGAGCCGCAGCTGCACCATGTGGAAGAGGGAGCTGGACAGCGCGACGGCGAAGGCGGCGACGCAGTGCACGGGAGCTGGGCCCATGGCCGGCCTGGCACCCCGGAGGCAGACGGCCGCCAGGAGAGCCCAGTAGGGCAGGTTCGTGGACCAGAACAGGAGGCGCTGTGCCAGAGTCAGCGGCCTCGCGACGCTGAGGTGGGACTCCAGCTCCCGATGAGCCTCCACGCGGCCCGCCTCCATGCCGCCTGGGAGCCCCTTGAGCCCCTGACGTCGGCAAGGCCTCCTCCTCTGCCGGTGGCCAGCACGCCCAGCAACCCAGATATCCGACGATCTGATGCTTTCAATGCGCCGCCCCCGGGGCCCCGATCCCTTTCACTACGACAGGCGTTCGTCCCAGATCCATCTCCGATGGCCCTATGGCCCACTGATGCGCCCCAGAGGCCGAAAGCAAGGAAAAACGCCCATATTGAAAAACTCATGTCGTCGGAGATCCGAAGATGCACGTGGCACGCAATCTTCGGCCAGATGGTCTGAATCGAACTGGCTACGGACGCCAACCTGGCTACGGGCCGAGGACACCCGCCCTGCAGACGCCTCCCGGCACGCGTCGCAGCCGAGCTCGTCGAAGCCGTCGGCGCACTCCTCGATGCCGTCGCAGTGCGTGGCGCAGACGGTCCTCTGCGGGGAGCTGGTGGAGGGGGGCCAGGGTTGGGAGGGGTGTCAAGGAGCCCACAAAAGACGTACGCGCCCAACCGTGTCCATGAACACGGCCCCATCGATCCGCGAGACGGGCCGCGTATTACGAAAATTCGCGCAATGCGTACTCTCGAGACCAACGTGGATTCATGTACGTGTACGTCCTTCTGTCGCTCCTGAGGTGTGGGACGCAGAGGGACATACTAGTACGATGTCCGTCCGTGGGGTGCACACGTCCGAACCGAACGCGCAGCACACACGATCGCATATCCTTACCAGGGCGCGGTCATGGTCAGAACGCTCCCGCCACCGAACATGCTGCAAGACTTCCGAGAGCGCGCATTCCTCCTGCTGGAAATCGGATCGGGTCGATACTTGTATCGGATCGGGCTGCATCGGCACGGAGTCGACCTCTCATCAGGGCCTCGCCGTGATGCACAACACCGCCGTGCAAACATCGGGCCGCACCAGAAAAAATCTGGAATACCATGACCGGATCGGGCCAGGCTGGCTGGAATCGACACCGAATCTAGAGGGTCCTAGATGGGGTCCGAACAAATGGGGTCGAAGGAAGGCGCCGCATCACCGATGAATCGCCGATGCACTGGCAATGCCTCCGCGACTCTGGCGTTTCATCGGCGACGCCTGCGTGAAAGAAACTGGGCTCCACATCGAGCCGCATCGCCGCCGATGCATCGGCGATGCGGAGCGATCCTTTGACCCCATCTGTAGGGCGACGACATGTATGCATGTTCACTACCCCCTGGCAAGGCCCACCCTGAACCCAGCAGCGGTGTATACGCCACGCCCTCCCGGCTCGGCCAGGAGGCCGTACACACAGCTCCCAGGTCCAGGAGGGGGCCGGCCAGGGGGCAGCGGGTTTGCGCATAGCTTTCGCCGCCCGGTACTCGGACCCCACCTGGTAGGCCCAGAAGATCGGATCGATCGGGCGGCGACTGTGGCCCCTGCACTCAGGTCGGACATGTCCCCCCACAGGCGGATTTTCGAAGAAAAATCCAGCAATGGTTAAAACATAATGTGGATGAATAACAATCGCCCCCGGACTACACACGTGTATATGTATATATATATGTGTACAAGACTGCATTGGCGCTTCGCGCCGCGCGCCTTGTTCCGGAAGCTTCCCTGGCAAAGCAATAAATCATCGTTTGCTTCAGCAAGGGGGACCTCGAGGTCTGGGCGGGCGACCGGCTCATTTTTCCGATACCCCTGGTGCCTGCTGACACCGCGTTCGGCCGATGCGCTTGTACGCTTGTGCGCAGGAGTTCGTAAGGAATGGTGACTTTTTCACGCGGGAAGGTCCTTGAGGAAGTAAGGAGCGTTCCTATGACAAGCCGAAGAAGTCGCTATAGCTCCGAACAAATCGATATTTGGTCGCTTCCTGACTGCCTGGAGGGCTCCAGACACTCAAGAAATTGTCGATCGTCAAACTTCGAATCTAGATCCATTGCCTGTCTCTCTCGGTCGAGGAACTTAAACCTCGAGCCTCAAGCGTGGAACCAAGATCGTCGGGTCAGCTCGATGTATTTTGTCGGAGAACGCCGTCTGGGCGTTGTTGGAGCTGTTTTGGGCCGTCCTGGGGCCCTCTTGGGCCGTCCTGTGGGCTTCCTGGGCCGTCTTGGGGAGCTGGGGCCCTCCAGAGGTCTTCTGAAGCCATCTATAAGGCCCTCTTGCAGGCCTCCAGCGGCCTTCTTGTAGGTATCCCATGGCTTTCGGGGCTATCTGGGGCAGTCTTGGGGCCCTCTTGGGGCGCCTTCAAACCCTCTGGGGGGCCTCTTGGGCCGTCTTGGGGCGATATCGGGGGCCCATTGGGCCGTCTTGGACGCTGCGAAGACCCAAACATCGGATATGTAAAAAATACAGATTTCCTTAGGGAATAGGGCGATTTGGGCGTTTTCGGAGCTCTCTTAACGGCCTCTTGGGGTGTCTTAGGGGGCCTCTTGGGCCGTCTTCAGACCATCGAGGTCCCTCTTGGACCGCTCTTGTGCTGTCTTGGGTCTCTCTTGCGCCTCTCCGAAGGCCCCTCTGATCGCCTTGAGTCGGCTCGCAAGGTCCAGCAAGGCGCCCTGGGAGGCCCGGAAGGGCCACCGAACCTTTTCCAAGGGCGTCCAGGGGGCCGCCGAGACGTCCGAAAGGTCGTCCGGAGCGTCCCTGGGGGGGGGGGGGGCGGTTTAGGGAGGGGGGTGCCAGGTTATGAAAAATAGGAATGTAGGAGCATGATTTTTCCTCCTGTAGAGGGACATGCCCGACTTGACCCTGCACGCGCCGCGAGCACTCTCGGGCTCGCCGGGCTCCTCGGAGCAGCGCGCCGGGAGGCAGGTCGGCGCACACACGCAGGAGTGACCCCGGGCAAGAGTGACCCTCGGCGCGCGCGGACTACAAAGGGGGCGCGCGGTGGCCAAATCCATGCGCGCAGCCAGCCGCTGGCGCATCGCGCTCGGCGATCGGGGGGACCCCGAGGAGCCCGCACCAACGGTCCCTCCGGCGAAGGGTCACTCCTCGTACGTCTAGTGAACGCTGTTTTATTCGGCGTCTCGACATCGGTCGGAAAGGGGGGCGGGGAGGGGGGGGTCTGGCTCCGGGCCTCTGGCTTCATGCCACCTCTCTGCCACCGTGCGTCCAGTATGGGGGTACTCCGCCTGCGTGCCGCAGGCGCCAAAGCCAGCTAAGATCTACTCCACTTGGGGGGGGGGGGGCGGGGGGCCACGCGGTCATCGGGGGGGTGGCGGGGGCCTTCCAGACCCCCGACTGGCGTCATGACTTTTCCCTCAAGCGGCGCCCCCAAATGTCCCCCGGCCGGCTTTCCATCCTGCGTCGCTTCTTCACGGCCCCGAGGCCCGGCCAGGGCCCCCAGGGGCCGAGAACCCTGCAACGCCTCCCGCCGTGACTGTTTCCTTGCTCGAAGGGGGGCTGGGGGGAGGGCGGGGGCCTCGCGGAGCCCCTCGCCCTCGATGGGGGCCGCCCCGAGCCCGGCCGCAGCGCGGCGGGGGCCTCGTGGAGCCCCTCGCCCTCGAGGGGGCCGCCCCGAGCAGCTGCAGGGCCGCAGCGCGGGCCCGAGAGCAGCTGGCGCCCTCGAGAGGCCCCCGGCGTGCGCCGGGGCGCCCTGGCCATCCAGGGCCGTGGGCACGAGCAGCGGCGGGCCCGGCGCGCCCCCGCCGACCCCGCGCTCGATGCCCGGCGTCAGCGCGGCCAGCAGCCCCACGAGGACAGGCCCCCTCGAGCCAGGGCAAGAGAGCCACGACGGGAGGCTTCTCGCCACGTGCGGCCCCTGGGGGCCCTTGCCGGGCCACAAGGGCCGGCCAGAAACGGCTCGCGCGGGACATGCGGTCTCCGCTGGACCCAGACCCCCGACGCCATGATTTTTTCATGACGCGACCCCCAGAGGTCCGGACCTATTCGCCGGGACCGGTTTTTCATCCTGAGTCGTTTTTTGACGGTCCCGAGGGCCGGTAAGGGCCCCTAGAGGCGGAAAATATGGAAAAACCTTCCGTCGTGATTTTTCATGACTCGAGGGGGTCTGGGGACCTGCGCCGATATCGGCAGCACAGCGAGCAAGACAACGATCGCCCCGTCGAGCAGGCAGCTGCCGCGGGCGCGCGGGCAGCACGCCCCGGGCAGCCCGGGGCCCCCGCGCCGGCCCCGCGCGGAGCGGCGGCCGCGCGCCCCCTCCCGGGCACGCCGGGGGCGCCCCGCGCGGGGCCCCGAGCAGAGGGCCCCCCAGAGGGCTGCTGGGCGTTTCGCCGCTCGGCCTGCCCAGACCGCCTCGACAAACATTTGTTTTCGGTCTCGCCATGTTTTTTTCACAACTTCTCGCCATGTTTTTTTCACAATGTTTCGGCCAAAACACAATCATGACGCACAATTGTTCGCCATGTTCCGTCTCTGGGGGTCCTGGCCGGGCCTCGGGGCCGGCAAGAAGCGGCTCCGCGCGGGACGACAAGCCGGTCCCGGGGAACAGGTCGAGACCTCGGGAGGGCGACGTGATGAACAAATCACGACGTCGGGGGCCTGGGTGACGGGATCAGGCCAGAGAAGCGCAGGTGAACGCAGATGAACAGAGGTACAGTCGGTCCGCATCATGAGGCTGCGCGGTAAGGAGGCGAGGGCCTTGGAAGGCGACGCCGAAGCTTGTCGAGCGGGGCGTGGCCAGCGACAGTGGCCAAGGACGGGCCGTGGAGGCCAGGAGGCCAGGGGTACTCTTAGGAACATCGCTCTATCTTACTATGCGTGATGACTGTAAGCGAAGGTAAACTTAAATCGGGCGTGTCCTCCTGCAGGCAGATTTTGGACGAGCAGCAAAAAAAGTACCCCACAAATGTTCAAAAAGAGCAGAAAACAACTATCAGAAATCGCCCCCAGACTATTTTCAAGAACTATTTTCGAAGGATCCTCCTGTAGAGGGACAGGCCCGACTGGAAGGCGAGCGCAGATGAGCGGAGGTAAATCTGGCGGGGCCCAAGCGAGTCCGAGCAACTCCAGAGGCCTGCAATGGGAGACGCGCGGGAGCGGCGGCCGCACACAGA